TTTTCTTGCCTAGATGCATAAAGTCCTGGGTTCATTATCCAGTACAGTACTGTTTCTCTCTCTCTCTCTCTCTCTCTCTCTCTCTCTCTCTCTCTCTCTCTGAAATAATAACAAATAGAAAGAAATAAAACAGGAAAGATAAACTACATGCTTGATAAAAATGTCAAATGAAGCATGCAAGGTTTAATAACAGTTTAAATACTGGATATTTTAGCCAACAGATAATTTCAGCCATGCAAGTGGCCCTTGAATAAAGGAAGGATCTGAGCCTGACAGTTTTCAGACACTGAAAATGCACATGGCAGTTCATTTGCAAGGAATAGCAAAAGAGGGTGAGTGAAGTTCTGAATGCTGAATGACCAGGAGAGAAGACAGTAGGATAGGATAGGTTAAGGCTTTCAGGAGTCTGAGCAAAGAATGGAAGAGTCTTTCCACTGAGATGCATCACATCAGAGGAAGAAATTTGTTCTAGTCTTAAATCACACATCCCATGGGAAAACTCTTTCTCATCTCCCTTTCATGAAACCCAGGAAATCACGCATCTTCCCTTCTATGTGCCTGAGCCCAAGGGCCTGGTCATTTGAGGCTTGGATCCTCCAGCCCTAGATAGGTCAAATGGGGAGACCCATCTCTGTTGAGAGATTGGCTTCTAGCCATGTCACTCAACCAAAAGAATGTTCTTTCTGTAATTAAAGGGAGTTAACTCCCAATGAATGTTTGTTCTATTTGTCCTGAGTTTGTTTCCTATCTCCCAGGATATTTCAGAAGCCACTCCTCATGGTCTAAGCTACAGGGCTAATTTATGTCTGTTTGTTCTAGAGCGTGCAATCCAATCCTCCCTTTCATGAAGATTTAACTTCAGACTTTTGGCCTTCCAAAGCAACCAATCCGGCTTGGCCCTGCCCTGTATCTATGACCATCAGAAGATTTCACGGCTATCTTCCAGGGAGCTTCAAGGACCTTCAATATGCTGTATCTAGTTGTTTTTTGTTTGCTTTTTGTCATTTCACTGTTTCTGCGAAGACAGTAGATCTGCCTGTACCTGAAACTGTTCTCTTACCACTGGCCCATTCTTTGACGGGAAGGCTCTATGCTTCTTTTTCACTGTCCCAGCAGACACCAGACATCCACAGCCATATTCAGGGCAGTTATCACAGTCAGCAGACTCTTGGTGCTCACTGATATCCATGGAGAAGCAAGCCTGTTCCCAGGGTGAACTGGGACCTGGCTCTCGCAGTGGATACTGTCATTCTGAGTACTTCAATGATCACACAAATATCGCTGAGAGTCAAGAATCAGAATGACTTCAAGGACAATGCCAAGGTCAGACACAGTAAGAGATAAATGCTGCCTATTTTCCAGGAAGCCAGAGTTTTAAAGTCCTATATCATTGATTTCTTAACTCCACTCCTTTATCAAACACTTTGTCCTGACCAGCCTTCCTCATTGGCTGTGTTATAAACGCTTTAGAAAACTTTCTCTATGTTCAGATTTATTTTGCACAAGTAGCACATGTCTGTAAATGTTTTAGGATTCAACTAATATAATGACTGTTTCTAAGGAGTGAGACACCATGTAGCATGCTATAAAATAAAGTAATAATTAGGTACCCCCCACCCCACCCTATGTAGAAGAAACCAAGGAATTAAAACCCAATTGCACTAAGGCCCAAAAGAGAAAACCCAATAGGGATGGATTTGTTGAAAAGCTCACAGGAATTTTGCCTAGATGTTGTGTTTAGTTACACTTCCAGGCCAGATAAAGGCATGATTTTGAGATGACAGTATTTTGAGGAGCAATGGTCAGGTGAACATTCTGAGCACAAAGACAGGGTACAGAAGCAGGAAAGTGTGGAGGGAGTCTAGAAAGCAATGCTCCGTTAGGCTCTCTTAAGAGGCAGAGTAGGAAGCAAGATGACACAGGTATTTCAAGACAAGTGGGAGGAAATCATGAAATGCCGAAGGCACTTGTCTTCATGTATCAGATACCAGAACTCCTAGTGACTTCAGCACAGAGACATACTAGCAGCCATCTCAAGCTCTACTATAGCTTTCTCATTCATGGTCTCCTCCTTGGGGATTTTGTGTGCCTCTAGATTGAGCTCATCCCCCTGCTGACAGCCTTGTGGATAGCTCCCTCTTAACATTCAGGTAGCTAATTCATTCTTTCCTCTTGCACGTGCCTCTCTAGTGTCCATCTGAAAGGTGTTCATTCTCTCTGCATCGCTTCTTAATCTACTAACGTATTTACTTTCTAACAGCACTTACAAGTTATTTTACTTATGTCACTGTGGTTTATAGTTTGCCTTCCTCCAATCTAAGATAAACTTAACCAGAATAAGCAAATTTGGCAGGGTTTTGCTCACAAGAATGGTTGACAAATAGGTATTTTAATTATCCTCACAGCTTTATACATAGATGCTATCAATCATACACTTTTGTCATACAAAGCATACTGTTCTTGTTGAGTATATTTTTGTGAACCTAGACATATCTGGGAAGAATGAATTTGAATTTAGAAAAAGCTTCCATCAGCGTGACCTATAGACAAGTTTGTAGCGCATTTTCTTGCTTAATGATGGATGTAGAAGTGTCCTGCCCACCGTGGGCAGTGCAAACCCTAGACAGGTGGTCCTGAGTCATACAAGAAGTAGGTTGACCAAGCCATAAGAAGCAGGCCAGTAAGCAGTGTTCCTCTATGACTTCTACCTCAGCTTCTGCCTCCACATTCCTGCTGTGACTTCCCCATAGTAATGGAGTATGATCTGAGAACTACAAGATGAAATAAACACTTTCCTCCCCTAGTTGCTTTTGGACACTGGGTTTTTATCACAGGCGAAGATGCCCTAACTAAGACACGTACTATCCAGTGGTTTATCCAAAAATATTGAAAAGGGAAATACTACTATATATAGTGTCAATTGACTGTAAATCCCAGCACTTGGGAGGTAGAGTCAGGAGGAGCAGGAGTTTAGGATCATCCTTGGTCTCCACAGTATTTGTTTGAGGTCAGTCTGGGATATCTGACCCTCTCTTAGAAAACAGCGAGAGGACAGGACAATCAATTAAATGACATTTTGAGTAGCATTTCTCATCAATTCTTCCCTTCTGCTTCAACAGATTTGTAAATGTGAATTTTGCATAAACAGAATAATATGACTGTCTCATTTAGCATACTACTTTCAAGGTTCCTGTAACAAATCCTAAGCAGTCTACAATTTTTTTTCTTAGAAAGCATTGATATTTATGCTTGCTACTACTTCCACCCCCAATACATACACACACATCACACATGCACTCTCTCCCTCTCTACCTCTCTCCCTCTCTCTCTCTCTCTCTCTCTCTCTCTCTCTCTCTCTCACACACACACACACACACACACACACACATACACACACGGAGAGAGAGAGACAGACAGACAGATACATAGACACACAGACACACACACGGAGAAAGAAAGACAGACACACACACATAGACACACAGACATGCACACATATACACACACACACACAGAGACATGCACACACACACACACACACACACACACACACTCATGAACTGTCATTTAGTGTAGCTAAAATAAATAGTCTCAGAGATAAAGAGAGAAATTCACTGGACAGTTCAGACTAAGAAGACACCAAAAGTTACTTACAAAGCTTTGAAGATGGCTATGTAGCTCTGTTAATTCCACCCATTTTCTTAGTCATTACTCAAAAAAGCATAATTTTTTCTTATTTTCAATCTGTCTTTCAGATAACGGCTGACAACTAAGCACGTTTTCTACGGCGCCACTCCAGGCTTTCTCATTCTGTCTCTGAAGCTACTCACCTTCCATTGCACAGGCATTTGCTGCCACATGGCTGCTTGCTGACTTCCACTGCTGAGCATTCCAGCCTAACTCAAAAGGCAGGAACTGCTTCCTCTCTCCTTTCTCTACAGATTCTCCCCCCAAGGCTCCTCAGTGCGTATTCTACTACTGCAATGATTTATAGCTTGCCCTCTGTTTACTCCCAAACTCAAATAAAAATTGTCTTTGAGCTTCCCCTGAGTCCATTTTAAAATTCTTTTATTAACAAGACTAAACCCAAAGAGGGAGGCCTTCATTTGCCAGTAATGCAGGGTGCCCAAAGCTGGGGTATCTAAACCTTCCAGTTAACATCAGAAGCAAGCATCACCCTTCTAATTTTAAGTTATGGATATTTGACTACAATGTTAAAGGTTCTGGGATTATCTCCCCTCCCTGCACTCTATCCTAACTTGTGTGCATGACCAAGCTTTATTTTGGGTTGAGAAATTTCAATTAGAGAAAACAAGACACAAGCCTGGGAACATCAATATGGAGAGAATGTAATATTTTCCCAGCTGTAACAGTGTCTTAGTATAGAAAAAAAATCAAATCTTTTCTCTATGAATATTATTACAAGAGAATCAGCCCTACCAATAAGTTTTTCTTCAAAGAGCTTTGAAACTGATGGTTTCAAAGCTCTCTCACCCCTAACACATACACACACACACACACACACACACACACACAGAGAGAGAGAGAGAGAGAGAGACAGAGACAGAGACAGAGAGACAGAGAGACAGAGAGAAGAGAGAGAGAGAGAGAGAGAGAGAGAGAGAGGCAGAGAGAGACAGAGAGAGACAGAGAGACAGAGAGAGAGACAGAGAGAGACAGAGACAGAGACAAAGGCAAGCAGGCAGACAGACAGACAGACAGACTGACTGACTGACAGACAGAGGGAGGCTTACTTGGAATGCCAGGAAAACCATCAAGAAAAAGCCTGCTTTTAATACATCTGATTTCAATGCTGGCATGGTATCCAAAATGTAATTTTCCCAAGAGAGAATTAACCACTCAGATAATGCACAGAAAATTACACTAGGAACTTAATGCTTCCTTTGTAATTCTAACTCTAAATTAACATACAGATTAACATAAAAATGCAAACAAGATTAACCTATTGTATAGAGCAATCTTAAAATGCTACATTACTGATTTTTTTTTTGTCTCCTAAGCATGAAGATTGGATGTTCACATCAGTATGTGACATTCCTCCCTCACACCTTGTTTTGATGTCACACATTACCTATCTGACATGAAAAAAAAATGGTTCTATATTATAAAAAGTACACTCTATAAATAAATCTAAAATTCATATCCTACAGGTAGTCAAACTTAGGACAAGAATACATAAAGCAACATGTTCATATACACGTGTGTGTGTGTGTGTGTGTGTGTGTGTGTGTGTGTAAAATATATATGTGGTAGGCTATGTGACATGTGAATAAATTATAATTATTTATCATAACTCAGAGATAGAAAGCGCTATGTTACTACCTAAGCTGTAGTAAAATATATATGACATAGTACTTTAAAGCAAGAGTGGTAAAATAACGCCTGATCTGTAATCCCTACATGGGAGCCAGATACAGGAGGATCTCTATGAGTTTGAGTCAGTCTAGACTCCGTAAAGAGAAACAGGGAATCTTGGACTCCATTTTAAGACCAGTTCTTCAAAGCCAAATAGCTACTGCCTCCAAATTGAACTCCTCCTTTCTGAAGGAAAGAATGTGAGTCATAAGATCCAGGAAACTAACGAAACTCACAAGGCTCAGGAAACTCACAAGATTCACAAAACCCTTCCCCAAGCAGTAATCTATCAGAGAGAGGACTCTTTAGTGGGCCTGTCTGCAAGTTGTACAGGGTGCTTCCGATGTATAGTTTTTTCTTGAGTGGTCACTCATGTTCAGATGGGTTTTTTTGGTGATACAGCTTCATCCACACTTCTGCAAATACCCCCCACTCATGCTGCTACAAGTAGTAACCCCAATAAACACACTAGTCCAGTAAAAGACATTGAAATAGAAAAGTGTCTTTGGGTTGTCACGTGTGCCCTATCTGTGATGAAGATACATTTGTTCCTGGCTCCTCAGGAAAAGCTATAACACCAAAAGAAAAAAAAATCAACCTAAGTATTTTCTCTGGTCTTACAATCTCTGTGTACATGGTTCTGTCTATATTCAGTGCTCAATGCAAGCTTCAGTTTTGAAGTCAAATAAAGAGAAAAAAAACCACACACATTGGGAGTTAAAAGCAATCACCTATGTGTCTGTCTTTATCCCTTAAGTTGGTACAAGACCTGCAGTGCAAATAATAGCACACAGTAGCAGAAAGCAGAGATAATGTCTACATTTATCGAAGGAGACTTGAAATGTGAGGTGACCTCTACATTTATCAGCGCAGAGGGTCTACCAGCCCAAACCACTTCAATCCCCATCTATCCCACACTGATAACCCTTTCCAGTCTCTCAGCCTCAGCTTATGGACCTCTTCTAAGCCACCACTCCCAGCTGCACCATCTCACCTGTGCCACACCTTGGACCTTATTATCAAACAGAACTGTAACAGGGAGAAGCTTATGAAAACCCTCTGGGATGGGGCATATGCATATAGTGGCCCATGTTTATAATCCCTTCACTAATGAGGTAGAAGCAGGAGGATTACTCCAAGCTCCAGGCCAGCCAGGATAGACAGAGACCCTCTTTCAAATAAACAACATCAACAAAACCCCTTGGGAATGGCTCTAGTCATTAGTTTATTGATTAGAGCCCTATGCCCACCCTATTCCTGGGTCCCCACCAGTTACCTCTCCATCTAGATACTGTTCAGTCATTTCAAAACAGTATTCTTGTGATCCAGGGCTAGGGCCCTAGTACCCACAGAGTCTCTTTTTCCTTTCCCTCTAACCTGGCAAATTCCATTCCTCTGATATGAAGGGCAAAATGATACAAAACTAATCAATGATTCATTTCTTTTACTCGTCTGTTTAATCGATACCTACTGAGCTCTAAGTATGAGCAACAAATAACCATGTTGCTATTTGGAAATTTGTTTTAAAGTGGCTTATCTTATTTTATGAATTTTCTAAAAATATTTCAAACACAGGAGCATACAGACATCACTTCCACAGTCCCCATTGCTTTGCGTGCACCCTTCTCCTGTTCAGTGGCTGATGCTATCAGGACCACTCTGTACATCACTTTGTTTCCATTACAACATGAGCACCTCTGGTTCATCATTCCTGTGAGAATTCAGAGGCACCAACATCTCTTTTTCCTAAATGTATCCTTCTACTGAAGCTCTTTGTACCTCCATTCTAACATAACCACTCTACTATGCTTTGTGTTGTTCCGTGTGCTAAGGACATAAATGTAAATGAAGCACTGAACTGTGTCCAAAGAGCTCACTGGCTAGTAGAAAAATAAAGAACCAAATGTTTGTTGTGTGTGTGTGTTTGTGTATGTGTGTTTGTATGTGTGCAAATGTGCCACACACGCATGGTGGCGATCTTTTTTTCTAATCTCAAACATGTTTGAAAGTGACAGCATCCATGAAAAGAAATTAATAGAGTGAACTAAGTTATTGAAGGTTAAGACAACTTAAAAGGAAAGATTAAGTGACATTTCTTATTTATTAATCGTGCAACCTGTGTCAGTGCTATTTTTCTTAATCCTCACAGCAATCCTGTGAGAAGGAAATGTTATCTCTCTTCACACAAGAAGAAACTGAGGCAGAGAAAGCTTAAGATGATCGCCTAGGGACTTCCAGGTTGGAAGTAATAGCATTAGGGCTCAAAGATCTTTGATCCTAGATCTATGTCTTAAGTACAGTATGTTGGTGAGAAAAAGATGGAGAGAGAGGACAGACTGATAGAAAACTCAGCAGAAGTGCATGTAATGGCTTTGCACGTGCTCTTCATGGGCTCAAACCCAACTCCATCCCAATGTGAAATAGAGCACTGCCTAAGAACTCTACTCATTCCCACCATGATGGATTCTCCCATAGCACAACTCATTGCTGTGGACCCGGTGGACTCATTCTTTCTTTCAGGACCTCTTAGAAAGCACCTTCCTGCGCTGCCTTCTCTTTGTCCATTGCCTTTCTCCTTTGCTTCCTAAATGAGGGCATTCCTCCACCTTTTTTCACAGTCCCCCCCTTCTCCAGCCATGTGTTGCCCCTCAGCAATTCATGTTCACAGTTCACTTCCTACAAACTTCCACAGTGAGTGTGGAGGTGGACGAAGGGTAAAATCTACCTCCAGAGATCTTTACTTCTTTCCTAGGCTAAATACTCTCCTACCCGTAGGAAATTTCATTACGCCTGCCCTTTCATATAATGTCAATGATCTCATTTGTGTGTAGACTCTGAAGAGGGTGGGGAAGCAAGCCATTGAGAAACAGACTAGAATAGTAGGTATCATGAATGAGAAGGAAGAGGAAATGATATGCAAAAGTCAAAAACGGTAGAGTTACAGATGATGAAACACTTAGGGATTTCACGGATAACAGGAACACTAAAGGAAAATATACAGTATCTATTATTTATTGAAAAGTGCCAGCCAAAAGGCTAGATTTTAAGTATCCTGTTAAAAAGTAAATAGGCTGAAGAGATGCCTCAAAGGGCAATAGTATGTATAGCTCTTGCAGATAACCCAAGTTCAGTTCCCAGCACCCGTGTTGGGCAGCTGTCAATGATCTGTAACTTCAGCTCCAGATGAATTTGATGCTTCTGCCTACTACAGTCTGATACATCCACACAGGCACAAAAAGATAAATTTTCAATTTAAAATGTAAAAACACAAAATTTTAAAAATAAAATATTTTTTAAAATTAAATTATAGGGGCAGGGATGTGAAGAATGACAGACTTACTTGCTTTTCATTATATGTGTATGCATTTACATATATATAGACACACACACACACACACACACACACACACACACACACACACACACATATATATATATATATATATATCTGTACACACTAAAACCTATGCTCCCGTGGATTGTTCAAATGGTACAAATGACTCCACATTCTTCAGGTCCTGAGGCTATAATTGCAGCTGTCCTGACATTCATTCTCCCTCAAACCACACTTCTACTTAGTCACCAAAATCTACTGAATATATTTCCTCAGGAACTTCAAAATCTTTCCAATTTTACTATCAGTAATAACCTTTATGTTCATCTGCTTCCTCCAGTTCACTATGAATACTCCCCAGGCATGACTGGACCATACTAAGTGGACAGGTCTCCACTGCTCCACTGAATGACTGCTGGAAGTAAAACTCCCTAGTCCTAGAAAACATCTCACAATCTGTAGACCTTGGGAGAGGCACATGTTTGTTGAAGCAACATGTGCTGTATTCTCGCTTCATAGAACTTAGTATAACTAATCATAGTAAACACAGGATAATCCTTCCTGGTAATGTTGGAGCTAGCCTAAGCATTATGGCCTATGTAATCATATCAGTAGTGGGGTCATTCCCTGTCCCACATCTGTTTTCTCTTATTCTCATAATAGAATTTCATTTTCCTTTAGGGAACTTCCCCTCTCTAAATGTTGGACTGCCAGCAGAGATCAACATTTCACTTGCTTCAAAGCTAGACATGTGGCTGAAGATGACCCACCCATGAGCCACTATCCCCTTGGACAAATGACAGGCCTAAATGTGGGGTACATGACCCCATTCAATGATCAGATCACACTACCTTCCTTTTGTGGGCTTAATGCCACTTCTGGGTAAAAGAATTACTAAGACTCACATGACCTTTGAGGCTTTGTGGAAAACATTTGCCTGAGATTGAAGCTAACATAGGGAAACAGAAAGTCACAGATGTTAGCATCACCTCTGGCTTTTGAGCTAGACAAGCCCACAATCAGTCTTTAAAACAGAACAAAACAATTCGGCTGTAGAGATTCAGAATTCACAATTCTTCACATGAAGAAGGCACATAATGCTTGCAAATTTACTAGGAGGCACACATGCCAATGTGCCTTATGTAAACAAACCTCTACCTGGATTGTGAACACTATTGAGATTAAACTCATTAATGTTTCTGTAATAAAACAAAAAGTGTTGCAATTAATGGATGTTAGTTCAGTTCAGGATAGGTTCTTCTATTTAAAAAAAAAACAGTATAGACAACATAAACTCTGTTTAAAAAAAAAGTCACCTGCTGTTTTCAGAACTGTGCATTGAGTCAGGTAGGACTGTTTCAACTGGTAAATTCCCTGGGTCCTCATCTGCTT